TGTAAGCAAAATGTAACATTGGGTGTATTACTCTGTTGTCATCAGTATATTTAGTCCATAATTAATGTTATGGAAATATGGTTGTTTTAGTTACTAGGGGGATTCTGACAACCACTTGTTCATTGTAAGTAGAAATTAAGCATGTTTGAGTTGAAATTTGTAGTTGCCATCAAACATGTTATAAAATTTTGTTTGTTTAAAGCAAAACTCATTCCAAAATAATTAATAAATGATTACAAACAATGGAATTGGTTTATGATTTATTTATTGTGTTCCACATACACAGAAAGCAACCATGGCAACCAGACTATAAAACTTTTACAGATGACATGAATAAATTAAAGAAACTAGCCAATAAACAGCAAGCATCTTCCATCCAAAGATTGCACTAGAAATCCTTTGTCCCACCTTATAAATTATTTATAAAAAAAAAATGGAATGAGAATAGATCTTGTACTTCATAGGGATAATACAAAATAGTAAGAAATTATCAAATTCACACAATTGTATTTCCCTCTTCTGACACTAGAGGGGGCAAGTGAGTGTTCAGGAAACCTGGACTTCATGGAATGTATATTTAAAGTCTGAGAATTCACTTGATTAGTTTTCACCTTGGATAACTAGCTTGTTTGTCTGGAAGGCTTGCAGTATTATTTCTGCTCGCAGTCTCACAAAAAAATGTAAAATAAATATCCTTAAAGCTTGCACTCATTGCACTTCAAACTTTTAAAAAAAGTCTGATAAATAAAATATTTATATGAATTCTTTGGCAATTCACTGAAGAACTGGATTTAATAAAATTTACGACACTATGACAATTTTTTAAATGAAATGTTTTGTAATTAAAATGTGAAAACAAATCCCTTTAAACGTTCTCTGTTAAGATACAATGATTGTAATGCATGCAACTATTATTAATAATTTAAAAGTTACACATGGCAGTGGGTAACTGGTCTTCAACTCTAAAATCTACTCAAATCTAATCCATGTACATGTCTGTAAACACAGAAATATGTCAATCTAAACACCAACTAATTTTTTTTTATTTTCAATGTTTGATATTAAATTTGGAATGAATATTTGCAATAAAAATAAATCACAGTGAGCTATCTTGGTTCATTGCACGAAGTCACAATATTGCACGATGGTCGACAAAAGCGTAAACTTTTCCAAATAAGTTTCTTCGTCTGCTAATACATTCTACATCAGGTGGGAATTCTGTATGCATACAAGTGGTCAGTCACTAGTGATGATGAAATGTACGATATTGTACATTTGTTTAGACAGCATGTTAATTTAGCTAATGTCTTACACAAGTTATAGCTACCAATAATTTACATTTTAGCTACATTTCTAAATCTACAAGTACAACCTAATTTGAGACCATGACTATTTCTTAAAGTAGTTTTTTTTTCTGGATAGCGATAACATGATTCTGATGACCGTATTCTAAGAAATGTACCACATGTATGCAAAGAGCAAGTCCATCCTGGATTTTGTTCTATATTGATATAAGGCCATTATTTGTGTAATATTAAAATGTGTAATCATCATCTCCTTTATTGGAGTCCGCAGCACGTCTTCCAGTAAAATAATGATCACCTTTATCCAGAGCTGTGGCCTGCAGACAAAAAAAAGAAACAAATAAATTGAGTACATGGTCTGTGATGTATTTGTTTTAATACCTGAAAATGAAAGTATTTTAGTTTTATTGATTTTATTCATTAAATGGACAATTTAGGGGAGGAAAAAATTTATGGAAAATTTAAAACAACAACAAATTGAAAAAAAAGCCAATCCCCCAATATTATATTTATTTCTCTACTAAAAACATTTATTGTACATGAGATACTGAAACCACAGCATTATCCCATGGAATCTATGATATCATTCATCTTCTAGTTGCTAGGGACAGCAGCCATATTAAATTTCATAACACTAAATGTACAAACTTGATTACAATGCATTTAAAGGAGGAAAGCAAATATTGACAAAAAATGAAAAAAACTAGCTACAATTTATAATAAAAGTTAGAGGTTAAAGGTTAAAGGTTAAAGATGAAAACATGACTAATATTATGTTAGTATATACTTACTGTTATCAGAGCTATACCAGCAGCCTTTGACGATGTCTTAGGTTTAGTATTAAAATGCATGCTTATTTTACGAGCTACGGTAATCTGCATATCTTTATCTAATGCAGTGTCATCCTGAAAATGAGAAAAATATTATCACTTACACTGTTACCATGGAAACATGCATTTTTGTTGTATTGCAATACACTCGAGACTGTTAGTATTAAATGAAATGATTCTCACTCAGGGGGTTAATATGGTTGTTTCAAACAAACAAAATTTTTACATCAAAATTAATTTATAATATAGTGACAATCTACTATGAATGAGGAAAGGAGATTGTTTCCTAACCAACAAACAAACCAGAAGTACTTGGTTATCAGATTTGTTAACCAATCACATTCTGCCTTGTGTAAACTAATATCAAATTAAACCATTTATTTTTGGTTAAATAAAAATAATCGTCATCACCAACAATTATGTTCTGTAGTAAACAAATGATTTATTTTTTCTTGACACTAGATGGCAGTATTTGAGTTATTTTGACTTACAGCAACCCAGGGATGGTCCAAGACTTCTGAGGCTGACAATCTTTTCTCTGTGTCAACTTCTAACATTCCACTTATCAGTTCCTACGATAATGAACATTATAAATATATATAAAAACATGATAGAGTGGTCAAAATGGGTATCTTTTGAGTAAAGCAATCATTGGAGGTAATAGTTAAAAGAAAAAATAGTCCAAAAAGTTTCCAGAAAATATACTCAGGGAAATTTGGAAACACTAGCTTTTGTATCTTTGTGTAAAAATTGTGTGTTGTCTCTGACACGTATGTGAAAAATAAAGGTAAAGGATCTCAGTACAAAAACTATTTACAAGACAAGAGGTTTTATTTATTATTTGAATATTATCTTGGTTTGTTTTCATTGTCAGACAATTGACTACAAGATGTACTATGTGTTTATTTTGACACCTGTTTTTATTCACAGATTACAATTGCACCTCAGTATATCTTTACGCGTGGCAGTCAGCACGCCATGTTTGATAAGGGACTAATACCGATGTATGTAATGCGTGGGAAATGTATCATTTGTTTACACCACTGCCCTTTAAAATACACCTGTTAATTTTGCCTTAGAAGGCGCACTTTTGATTTCAGGTCAAAAATGCAGAATATGATCAGTTTTGAAATGACACGTTGGGATACCATCTTGTGAATTCACTTTCATAATGAATACTAGTTACATGCTAAATTGCAAAACACACATTTTCCATTTTGGGAAGGCACCAATAATTTTCATCCCAAAATTTAGTATTTATCAAGCGTATCTATACTTACTTTGGCAGAGTCCGAAATATCATCCCAATAAGGAGACGGAAATTCAAATCCGCCGATTAAAATATGATCAAATATTTCATCTTGTTCACCTTTCTCACTGCAAAACAAAATTTTGAAAGTTATGCATACAGAGATGATATATATACCTATATGATATATATAGTATTATTGTCACTCTGTTGACCTGTGTTGACCTGCAAACTAATTTCAATATATCATTCTATGAATAATAACATATACAGAGAACAGCTTGAACTATTTTATGACTGCAAATTATCATATTATTAATTTGGGTTGTAATTTGTATTACACATATTATTTTGCCCAATTTTTTGAAAACATTCAAGAAGCTCAAATTAAAATACAGATCAAGTTCAATATTCAAGGTGATGTCCATTACCTTCTGAACGGTGGGAAGCCACAAAGAAGTATGTAGGTGATGACACCAGCTGCCCATACATCAACTTTTAAGCCATACCTAGATAAAAAAAAAATATTTATAATATATATACATGTAATACTGGTGCAGAAAACATTCTGCAGCGATGAACACTGACATACTAATATTTTCACATAAGATAATTTTACATAATTTATTACAGTATTGAATACACAACATATAGTTAATAATTATATACATGTAATATTTCCATTGCATATATTCTTACCCTATTTCCATGAGTATTTCTGGTGCTACATATGTGGGAGTCCCACATACAGTAAAAAGTGGCTCTGTTACTATGGTAGCCAGTCCAAAATCTCCCAGTTTTATTGACTTGCTTCCATCTTCATGTTCACAAACCTATAACAAAAAATTCAGGATATGTTATATTGAGACAAATTCATATACAATATATTAATATTTTCTCTTCAAGAACACCTTAAATGAATATATCAAATGTCAACTACATATATTCTGGCCAGACCACCATAATACCAAACACTTGCAGTCCCTGAAACTCAGACAGATGGTTATAAAGCTGAACTAGTCAATGATTGGTTGGTCAGTGTGGAGCAATTGTCCAACCACATCACATCAATATAAAAGCTAGCATACAACATTAATTGTGCTTTGTTTTTTTTTGAAAAACCGTTTTCAATAATTGCAGTTTATAAACATAAAAATTGTTTTCATAAATTTTAAATAACTGCAACTCAATTGAGTTTGAATAAAAATTTTAAAAAATTGGCATAAACTAACTATAAAATATAGAAAGCACTGTGATAAAATAAAAGGACTTTCATAACAAAATTTCTGAATATAAATGTCTCTTACCAGAAGATTTTCTGGTTTAATATCCCTATGTAGTATATTCATCATATGCAGGTACTTGACAGCACTCGCCAGGTTGTATATCATACCGCTAGCATCACGCTCAGTGTATTTTGTGGCAGATTGTATTGCATCAAATAAATCACCTCCCTGTAACAGATGGACAAATAAACTATATTTAACAAGTGATGAGAATTATCTATTATTGTAATTGGTAACAAATACCATATTTGACACACATAATTTGTTGTGTAAAACTTTTTTTTGACAAATGTTTTAAACATTTATTCTCATCTTGTACAGAATGTACAATAAATTGCAAACATTGAAGCAGATGAATGCGGTTGACAACTCTCAGACTGAAGTAATACAACAAATACTTATGTATACTATTAATAAAGAAGTCACAGTATGAAATGAAAGTAGTTTACAGTAGTGTTCAAATGCATGGATCGTGTACTTACTTTGACTAATTCCATGACAAGATACAATTCACTTGGTCCGTCATACTCGGCTATCAACATAATAATGTTTGGATGTTTCACACGACGTAAGACTCCAACTTCACTCTCTATCATGTGTTCCTATAGCGATGACAACCAAAAATGCATTATAATCAGGTAAGAAATAATTTATGTGAGAAAATAATCTTTTAATGAAAATTTAAAGTATAGATCTTCGTCAGGTTGTTACTTTTGTCAATTTTTTTTTTTT